CATTAATAAATCTGACATAAATTGATCAGAAATCTAGAAAGGGGAGAAAAAGATTAAGCCATCAATAGACAACCTTTTACAACAGTGCTATTGTGGTCCAGTGGTCAGCATGTTGCGTTACCACACCGTAGGACCCGAGTTCGATCCTTGCCTATCTAATTTAATTCATTTTAATTTTTTCATTTTTATTGTTAAGACATATAATACTGTTTGGGTTGTTGAACATTTTAACTTCTAAAGCAGCTGTTTTCTTGAAAAAGACGTGATCGTGTCATTAGAAACTGAATTGGAAATTATGTTATTTTAATATAATCAGTCGTGAGCTAAGGTGGGCCGGTCTACAGCTTGAAACCCCAGGGCTAAAAAGGAGTCCCACTCCGACCCTGTCTGTCACTGTGCTGTTTATCTGACGCAGCCAAGGCGGAGATTGAGGAACACTTTGACAGGCACGTGGAAACATTGGCCGGGAAGAACTAGCATTAAAGGCACAGGCAACAAAAAAAAAAAGCTACATTGTGTCCAAAGCTGAAATTTTCAATATTCTGAGTATGATAAATAATCTGATGGGTGTTTTGAGCTGAAACTTTACAGATGCATTCTGCAGACACAAAGGATGCATCTTAAATCTTGAAAAAAAAGGGTAAAATAGCCCTTTAATATTATAAAAAACAGCATTCCTGCATGTATGATATCACTTTAACCATGTTAAATTTTGTTTGTGAAATATCTTTGCTTTCATTAGTTAAATCATGGGTCATTCTTATAAGCTTCATCAAACAGTGAATACTTACTTTTTTAAAAATACTTTTTTTTTTTTTTTTTTACACATTATATTTACAATATTATTGTAATGTACACGATTAACAATGTCTTAACTTTGTGTCCATAGGGCTGGGTGACCACCATTCTGGCCCCCATCGACCTGGTCCTCAACCTGGGTCTGCGCATGAACAAGGCCCAGCGTGGCGGGTACCTCAGGAGGAGAAAACTGCGATAGGACGAGGACATAGTGTGATAGACTCCAAAAGGGCCAAAATGTTTTACAGAATGCATGTACTGAGATTTGAGTCAATTAGACCTCAAATCTTTGAAGTGCTGCCTCTTAAACACACTTTTTTTTTTTTTTTTGTATGTGTGCATGTGTTTTGTGTGTGTGCGATTGTTTGTTTTTTGATTAAATATCTGGACATGCTCACGTTCCACAATGAAGTGCTAGTTAACCAAAAAGGGGGCTAGTCTTTCTTTGAGGGTGAATAAAGCATTATGTTTGGCGGAGAGGGTTTTGCGGCCACTGCTGTTGTAAGCAGAGGGGTATTTATATGGTGATGGTGTTTTTTTATTTTTATTTATTTAAATAACTTTTCTTTTTTTTATCTGGGAGCTTCTACTACTTGCACTCTTCCTGTTAACTTGTTTGCAATCGTGCCTTATCATGATAAACGGGTGCTGGCCTTATCATTAAATCTATGGTGGCTATTTTTGAATCTTGTACTGTATCAACATAAAACTGAAGGTCTGATTTGAGTGTATTTTTGTACATTAGCCTTTTCAGGCTGAAAGTTTACTTGTCAGCTTGGTTTATTTAAAACCTGGGCCTTTTTTATATATAATTGAAAACTTGGTCACGATGATTGAAAGGAGATCTAATGCACGTTTACATAAGTTTTTTTCACTCCACTGAAGATGTAAAGGTGTGGTGGAATGTCACCAGTTTGCCTAGGGAATTATCCAAAGATGGATTTGAATACCTCCATATGGTGTTGATCTCTGTATGATTATTTTCGGACCAGTGCCAGGCAGGTTAAACTTGAATGTTTTCATTCCAGACGTGTGAGAGTGGAACGCATTGTGCTGCTTTACTGATGTGTGACAATCTGAAAATGCCTGTTAATAAAAAAAAAAAAGATTTTTCTTTATTGATTTTTTTTGTGTTGGTCTTTTTTTTTTTATATAAAATGTGTGCTTCTGCATGGGTTTTAGTGTTCTGTTTCTTTCATATATTACAGTGATTAAGTGTCTGAGCTTTATTTATTTATTTATTTATTTATTTTATTAGAATATGCAAAAAGGTACATAAATTGGCATCATACAAATACAAACAAACATAATAAATCAATAACAACAAAAACAACAACAATATAGTCAGGTACTCGCGCGCGCGCGCACACGTACACGCGCGCGCGAGTACCTGACTATATTGTTGTTGTTTTTGTTGTGTGTGTGTGTGCGCGCGCACATGTAAAGATAACTTGGTGGACAAGTCAGAGTACATACACAAGGGACAATACCAGTCAATAAATGAAGCGTGTATTGCAGATATAAGTAAAACAGAAAGAAACCAGAGTAACAACAATGCTTAGTAATGTATGATTGTAATAATGACAGTAAAAAGAAAAGAAAGGACAACAGTAATAACTGACAATGATAAAAAATCACCAGTACTACACCAACTACTACAGAAAGTTATATTACAACTAGTACTGCTGCTACAGCCACAACCACGACTATTACTACTATAATGTCTACTAATACTGAAACTACTACAACTACTACAGCTTCTGCTACAACTAATATAACAACGTCTACTACTGCAATCACTGCTACTACAACATCTACATCAACAACATCAACTACACCTACAATAACTACTACTGCTTCAACGACACCTTTACTACTTCTGCTTCCACTATACCAATGACATCAACTACTACAGGAACTACTACTTCAATAATCACAATTACAATCAATACTACTACAATCAATACTACTACAACTACTACTACTAATACTACTACAACTACTACCACTACAATTACAACAACAACTACAGCAACCTTAATAATGATAATGGTATTAATACTTATAATAATGATAATGAAAAGATAACAGGAGGACAAGTCAGAACTGTAATAATAATGATAACAAAAGTAAAAGTAATACCATTAATGATAAAATTGACGAGCTTTTCTGAGCTTATTTTAAAGCTACTTTATGAGGTCTTATGCTTTAAAATTTTCAAATGCTGCTAGGTTATTAAATTATCTATTGATACGTTTTTTTGATGAACATCAAACTTTGCTGTACACTTACTAATTCAGTTCACCAAAAGATTAACCTACTTCAAAATGATTGTGAATTTGACAGTTGGTTTGAACAGAGATTTTAAAACCAGATAATAAATATAATTCATTTTTTAAAAATAAATCAAAAGGCCTACAACAAATATATTTTTTTAAATGAACCAATAAACCAAATAAAAGGAACAAACATATCAATGAAAACTAAAGTAAAATAATCTTCTAATTAAAAATAACATACAAATACTGCAAATTTAATCAACAAATAAACCATTTAAAAGAAACAAACATACATGGGCAGCAAAAAAGAATCCACTGTAAACTGTTGTTTCACACATTTGAGTCTTCTGTAAATCAGGTAAAAACATTGAATCAAGCTTTTTGGATTGGATATATAGCAAGACGTAAACAACTCTTCATTGTCCAAATTCCACACAATTTGTATTCTAACATGTCTTACCATATATATACAGTTGTAATGTAAATTGTAATGTAAATGTAAATGTAATGTGTCTTACACTCTAAAAATATGTTTGATGGTAAATCATTTTACTATTTTAGGTCCGTTAGGATTACCTAGATGATTTACATTTGCTAAATGCCAGAATAATAAGAGAATTTTTTTTTTTTAGATTTTTTGATTAATTTCTAGACAGTCAAAAGTTTACATACATTCCCTTGTTATTTGTTAGCTTTGCTTTTAAACTGTATAACTTTGGTCAAATGTTTTGGGTATCCTTCCACAAGCTTCTGACAATAGCTTGAAGGAATTTTGGCCCATTACTCCTGACAGAATTGATGTAAATGAGTCAGATTTGTTGGCTGTCCTGTTTTCAACTCTGCCCGCACATTTTCTGTAGGATTGAGATCAGGGCTTTGTGTTGGCCACTCCAAAACATTTACTCTGTTGTCCTTAAAGCACATTTTAACTAATTTGGAAGTATGCCTAAGGGTCATGGTTTGTTTGGAAGACTCATTTGTGGCCAAGTTTTAATTTCCTGGCTGATGTCTTCAGATGTTGCTTCAGTATTTCTACATAATGTTCTTTCTTCATGATGTCATCTATGCTGTAAAGTGGACCAGTCCATACTGTAGTAAAACAGCCCCACAACATGATGCTGCCGCCCCCATACTTCAGAGTTGGGATGGTGTTCATAGGCTTGTAAGCTTTCCCATTTGTCCTCTAAATGTAACACTGGTCATTATGGCCAAACAATCTTAGTTTTATCAGACCACAGGACATGTCTCCAAAAATTAGTCCTTTCCCAGTGTAATTTAGCAAACTGGAATCTTTTGTTGATTCTGGCTTGTTGATTTTCCCATGTTGTCACACAAGGAAGCAGTGTGTTTGAGGTTTTTCTTCAATACTATACTACAGTTGTGCCTCCAATTAACTCAAATGTTGTCAATTAGCCAATCAGAAACTTTCAAAACCTTGACACCATCATATCAGCTTTTCAAGAGGTATAATAATCTTATTGTATGTAAAGTTGACTTTCAAGAAAAGTTATAACAATTTCTTAAAAAATATATATCTCAATATTCTGCAATTAAGCATAACAGATACAAAATTGATAATCCTTACTTAGCTACCTAAAAGAGAAAATGTTTAGTCAAATTAACATCTGACCTTCTTTTAAATGGTTCTATGCCTTTTTATACAGTGCATGTAGTCTTCTGGTTTCAATATATATATATATATATATATATATATACATACATACATACATACACACACACACACACAGTTGAAACCAGTTGAAATATATAACACAGGTGTTATATATTTATAACACCTTAAACCAATATACACAATTATATTGTATTGTACAGATATTTTATGACTATTGTACACGTTTATGTGTTATACATGTTTATATTGATCACTGTACTTACAGAGGAGAGTACAAACCAGTAGTAACATCTGAAGGTAGGAGGTTTTTCCGCCGGTCATTGTAGCTACCCGGACACATTTCTCCAAACACAACAACAGTGATTGTATTACTATGACACAAACGTTGAATCTTGAAGAATACATAGATCAAACGGCTTGAAACGAATGTTTGTAAGTATTAATATAGTTGATAATGTTTAGGAAAAACTGTCGCGTCATTGAAAATAGACTGACAACGTTAAAACGTGCAAACGCAAGTAGTTACACAACATACCATCAGTATATTTACATCAACAAACTTTGCTTTTAATAATAATAATAAGGCACCTATAGTGTTTGTGTGTTTAAATGTATAGTTCACCCCTAAAGGAAAATCCTGTCATCTTTTACTCACCTTTTACTTGTTTCAACCCTAATGACTTTCTTTATCCACTCAAACACAAAAGAAGATATTTTGAAGAAAGCTGAAACGATAGTATTAGTTTTTCTGCAGCGGTTACAGATTATCAGCTTTCTTTAAAATATCCTATGTGCTTAGAGTAAAGAACCCCGTAAAGTATTGATTTAAAGTTGGTTTTATATTCGCACATTCGTTCAGTGACAACGTGTTGCATGTTCCCTATATTGTACCATGGTACTTTGAATATTCGGCTTGAAATCACATGTAAGTATGACTTCAAAACAGCATTAAAACTATTTATTTGACTGTGAACAATGTTGTACTTTAAAAGCCTTTTGGCTGCTAATATAAGTACTTACAATTTCCAAAGAATTCTTTTCTGAAATTATATTATTAAGAAAGTCCAAATGTGCAAATATACAAGCAGCTTTACCTCAATCCATGAGGTTAAGGAACCAATTTTCGTTTGAAGGTGAACTATCCCTTTAATAATAACTTTCTCAAATACTACAATAAAATATGAGAGTGCTTGCTTTACTGCAATGGTTACTAAAGTGGGGGTCACGAGATGGGGGGTCGCTTGGTGATTTCCAAAATTCTCAAATATGCTATTAAACTATTAGAATTATCATATTGTAACCCCTAGTGCAATTAAAAAGAAAACGGGAGCTGGAACTGAAGATCTGTTTTAGATAATATTCACTCATCTTCAGTTTGTTTAAAACATAGAGTAATACAATTTAAAGTAGTACACAGAGACTACATTGGACCAAAGTGAAACTAGCTAAATTAAAACTAAATATAGAGCCCAATTGTGATTAGGCATGGGACGATAACTGTTTTTAAGGTATACTGTGGTTTGGAAAAGTCAAGGTTTTAAAACTCCAAGATATTCTACTATACTCTTCCTAAGGTACAGTTGAAGTCAGAATTATTAGCCCCCTTTTGATTGATTTATTTATTTATTTTATATTTCCCAAATGGTATTTAAAAGAGCAAGGAAATTTTCACAGTATGTCTGATAATATTTTTTCTTCTGGAAAATTCTTATTTGTTTTATTTCGACTAGAATAAAAGCAGTTTTGAATTTTTTAAAAACTATTTTTGGGACAAAATTATTAGCCCTTTTAAGCTAACTTTTTTTTCGATAGTGTACAGAACAAACCATCGTTATAGAGTAACTTGCCTAATTACCCTAACCTGCCTAGTTCACCTTATTAACCTAGTTAAGCCTTTAAATGTCACTTTAAGCTTTATAGAAGTTTCTTAAAAAATATCAAGTAAAATATTATTTATTGTCATCATGGCAAAGATAAAATAAATCAGTTATTAGAAATAGTTTTTTTAAAAACTATTATGCTTAGAAATGTGCTGAAACAATCTTCCCTCCATTAAATAGAAATTGAGGGGAAAAAACAGGGGTGATAATAATTCAGGAGGGCTAATAATTCTGACTTCAACTGTATGTCTAAGATTTCTTATTTATATTTTTATTTTTTAGGACAACAGTATCTCTTTCAGAAAAGATATCCAAAGATGCTTTTTTAAATTATAAAGAAATCTGTGTTTATGAAACAAAGACAGCAGAAGTTTATGATGCATTGGAATTATTTAGCCTGGCATGTTTGCTGCTCCAGAATATTTGAAATGTTTCTAAAAATGAAATATATTATGTTCATTAGGGGAGAAAAGTTTAAGTTCTTTTACCCAGACATTTATATAGAATATATTTTAGAGCAGTAATCACAATACTGGCAAACCGTGATATTTTTATCCAAGGTTATCATACCATCAGAATGTTATACTGGCCTGTGACTAGTTGTGACAAATGTAATATTGAGCCAGCTACACTACCTCATATGTTTTGGGCTTGTTCAAAATGAAAGGATGGCAGCTAATTACATTTTTCTCTGATGCATTGATTATGTATTTAGTACCTGAGGCCATATTTTCAATATTTGGTATCATACCACAGTCCTCATGTTTTAATAATAGTAGGATAAAAGTGATTGCCTTTGCTACGCTTTTAGCTAGAAGGTAAATATTGCTGAAATGGAAGGAAAATTTCCTCCAACCTTTAAGTAATGGCCTATAGAGCTTTTACATCACCTGACCTTAGAAAAAAATCAGATTTACCATAAGAGGTTGTACTGATATTTTACATATACCACCTATTTTACATCACATAAAGAAGATGAACCCCTCAGTTATTTTAGAAGAGTAGAACCTTTCTATGTTATTATGTAATAATGTACCTTTTATTTTTATTCCTTTTATATATTAGAGTGAAATATGTTTTACTTAATATTATTATTTATTTATTATTTATTTTAATATTATTCATATATTTTTGTAGAAGCCAAATATATAGACAGTTGAAGTCAGAACTAATAAACCTCCTTTGAATCTTTTTTCACAGTATGTCTGATAATATTTTTTTCTTCTGGAGAAATGCTTATTTGTTTTATTTCGACTTAAATATCTATATTATATATAATTTTAAATTTTTTGAAAAACATTTAAAAGGTCAAACTTATTGGCCCTTTTAAGCTTTTTTTTTTCGATAATCTTCAGAACAAACTATCGTTATACAGTAACTTGCCTAATTACCTTAACCTGCCCAATTAACCTAGTTAAGCCTTTAAATGTCACATAAAGGTGTATAGAAGTGTAAAATATCTAGTAAAATATTATATACTGTCATCATGGAAAAGATAAAATAATTCCGTTATTAGAAATGAGTTATTAAAACTATTATGTTTAGAAATACGGTGGTATTAGTAGGTATAGTAGGTAGTGCTGTCGCCTCACAGCAAGAAGGTTGCTTGTTCAAGCCTCAACTGGGTCAATTGGCGTTTCTGTGTGGAGTTTGCATGTTCTTCCTGCATTCACGTGGGTTTCCTCTGGGTGTTCCCCTCAAGTCCAAAGACGTGCTGTACAGGTGAATTGGGTAGTCTAAATTGTCTGTAGTGAATGAGTGTGTATGTGGATGTTTCCCAAAGATGGGTTGCGGCTGTAAGGGCATCCGCTGCATAAAAATGTGCTGGATAAGTTGGCGGTTCATTCTGCTTTGGCGATTCCAGATTAATAAAGGGACTAAGCCGAAAAGAAAATGAATGAATGAATGAATGTTTAGAAATGTGTTGAAAAAAAAAAATCTTCTCTTTGCTGAACAGAAATTGGGGGAAAAAATAAACAGGGGGGCTAATAATTCTGACTTGGTTTTGTTTGTTTGTCTGTTGTGTTAAAAAAAAAAAGAAAAAGTGAAAAGCTATTTGTACTGCATGTTTGATATCAAACGTGTTCAATAAAAATACTGTTGGAATAAAATTATCATGTTGTATCCATAACTTACAGAAGATAAAAATACTATTTAATATTTACATTAAAAAATACATGCAAATAATAAGCCATCAGCTTTTCAATTTTATTTCCATCGTATTGCGACTCCTGGTGTTATTACACTAGTTGCAGCAGATTGATTTTACGTCACAATGTTAAATTTTGACACCTTTACGGTACTCACACACATAAAAAAAAAAGGCCACGACTAAACATGGAGCATGATCTCTCAGTGGCAGCCTCCAAAATTAAACCAAGAATAGTCTTGTGCTGTAAACACTCTGCCCACCATTCTCATGAAGTGAAGTTTATATTAAATTAAACAAATGAATAATGACTATTAAAAAAAATCATATGGTTATTTGACAGTTGCAATTGTTGTGTTGTAAACATGCTCATGTTTACGTAGTTCCTATTGCTGTGTGTGCACCAATGTGTGCAGTGTTTGTATGTTTATTACCACCTCTGAGTATAGTGAGGGTTGCAGCTCACTGGAGTTGTTCTTTTGGGGGTTGCAGGCTCAAACATCTCGATAGCCCATGCTGTAGTGAGTGATTTACTGAAAACACCTGAAGATGGCAGCAAAATCCTTCTGTTGGTGAGAAAAAAATGAAGTAAATTGTGTCTAAGTTGTAAAATCCTTGTTTTTAATTTTATTTCTCAGAGACTTTTAAGCTTTAGATGAGCGATAAAAGGCAGCGAGCGAGAGTCCAGGGCTCCTGGGCCAAACCTGTTCAGAAACCACAGCGGCCATCTGGTATGCCAGTTTTCTATTATGTTTCTATTCTAATAACTGTAACGCATAATATACACTACCAGACAAAAAGTTTGGAAATTGTAAGATTTTTTATGGTTTAAAAGAAGCCAATGGGGTCTATGCACAGCTAGTGTTAGATAAACTTGAGTTGAAAGGTTAATGTGACAGTTTAATTTTATTCAACAAGGGAGCTTTTACAGCATCAATGTTGTAATTTGATTACAATACATTTAGTAAAATATACTTAAGCGTTCGTTTAGTTGTTGATCAAGCATAAAACAAGATGAAAGACTGTTTTGATGAGCCGTCGAGCACATAAACTCCATTGAAAATACTGGAGTAAAATTAACTGCCATATTTTAAAGACATGGCCGGGGGAAATGGAATTTAATGCAGTGCTTCTTGTCCAGTCTGAGACCCACTTTATATCGTATATCTGTCAGGCAGTGAAGATATCAGGAACTGATTTTTTTCTGAAGAAATCAGATCTAAAATGTGGCAATTTTGTAATGGAAAGACAGTTTTGCCTGAGGCTGGCTGGTTGAAAATGGAAGTCTGTGTGCATATACCCCATTTTGCTCATCAAGGCTGCATTTATTTGATCAAAAATGCATTAAACACTGTGAAATATTATCACAATTTTAAATAACAGTTTTCTTGGTGAATGTGGTTTCAATTTTAATTCATTTCAAGCTTTGATTCAAAGCTGAATTTTCATCATTACTCCAGTCTTGAGTGTCAGAAATCATTATATGCTGTTCTATTATGATCAGTTATTATTGGTACAAAATCACTAATTATGATTCCTACAATTAGCAGTTCTGACATTTTTTGTCTTGCTTCGTAATATCGGGGAAAACTTTTAGGATTCTAAGATAAAAAAGAAAGTTCAAAATAATATCTTCTATCTCCAATCTCTTTTTTTGTTTGCATTTTAAATGTATTCACTTTTACTCTGGAGCAATATATTGTGATGAATAAAAGTACATACATTTTTAATGGTACTCTAAAATCAGTTTTCCAATTGACAACAACAATTATAATAATAATAGGATGTAACGGTGGCACAATGGGTAGTGCTGTCGCCTCACAGCAAGAAGGTCGCTGGTTCGAGCCTCGGCTGGGTCAGTTGGCATTTCTGTGTGGAGTTTGCATGTTCTGCCCGTGTTCGCGTGGGTTTCCTCCAGGTGCTCCGGTTTCCCCCACAAATCTAAAGACATTCTCTTCAGGTGAATTGGGTAAGCTAAATTGTCCGTAGTGTATGTGTGTGAATGAGTGTGTATGAGTGTTTCCTGGTGATGGGTTGCAGCTGGAAGGGCAACAGCTGCGTAAAACATGCTGGATAAGTTGGCAGATCATTCCGCTGTGTCGACCCCTGATTATAGGGTCTAAGCCAAAAAGAAAATGAATAATGACTAATAATAATAATAATAATAATAATAAATGTTTATTCTTGAGCAGATCATAATACCAGATTGCTTGCAAAAAATCAGATTTCAACCATAAGATTTATTTAAATGTTAAACTACATTTAATAAAATAACAGTTATTTAATATTGCAGTTTTTATTTAAAAATAGTTTTTACTGTATTTCTTATCAAATAAATGCAACCTTTGTTAGCAGAATAAGATTATTATAAAGCATTTAAAATGTTGTTGTTGTTATTATTATTATTTTTTTTATTATTAATTCCAAACTTTTTACTGGTAAAGTGATTCAATAAATGATATATAGCTTGATTATTCAATAAATTAATGAATAGAAAACTCTTGTGCAGCAAAATATTAAACACTTTATTAACTTGTACATAATATATGATTTCTTTTATTAAAATAAGTGATTTTACAATAATAAAAACATATATATTTTAGATGAAATAATTACATTATTTCTTCCTAAATCACTAACAAACAGCTTGTAGAATTGTAAAAATGCTCATGAAAATTCAATTAAAATGAAAATGAAAAAATAATAATTTTAAATAAATCATATTCTGTCTAAATTAAGTGATTGTGTATGTAATTTTTGATTAACTACAAAAACTACCAAAATGTATTATTTTCAGAATTCTTTTTTCCCTTAAAAGCAAATTTGTGGAAAAGTGAATAACAAACAAAGTAATAATTATGGAAATTATTTGTGAAACACACAGACACATGAAAGAAAAAACCTATGATTAAATATCTACATACCCATTCAGTATATTCAGATAAATTGTACATGTATGATTCACAGGTACAATAGAGGGGCATGTAAAAAATTAGGTTGTGTAAAAAATGAAATTACCTATTTTGCAAATGGGGAAACTTCATTGGCGAAATCATGATAGTATTTAATCATATCATTTTTTTCTTTATTTAATTATGATTCTGTGGTTATATTATATAAACTAAACTGAACTTAAACTCTGAAAACTGCACTGACACTGTTTCAAATCACTATAATTTTCTATGTGAAGCTGCTTTGACACAATCTACATTGTAAAAGCGCTGTAGAAAAAAAGGTAAATTGAATTGAATTGAATATATTTGCGTTCTTTCAGTTCAAGATGTCCAATCAGCATCAGCATCAGGATCATGGAAATCTGGACCACAATCTTTTGAGTTCCACCAGCCAGCTGACGTAAGAAACATTTCTTTCTCAACAAGTGCCACATTTGAGTTTCTCCGATTTATCCTGTGTCTTTTTTTTCCAGCCCATCAGAAAGGTTCCTGCAGAGAAAGTGATTGAGTGAGTAACTTGGGCATTTTTAAGCAATAAAAGCTGTTGATTGACAATACATGTACTGGATCCAGCGTGTTGTTTTTCTTCTCTTTCTCAGAAATGCTGGTGACTATGAGATTAGTCAGGGGCCTTCTGGAGTATCCCGGTAAGAATAATGAATTTTAATGTGGCAGAAAACCTAAAAATTAAATATTAGGTTAATTAATTCATTTTATTTTCAGCTTTGTGCCTTTATTAATCTGGGGTGATTAGCAGCAGAATGAACACCAACAGTATATGTTTTACGCAGTGGATGCCCTTCCAGCAGCAACCCATCTCTAGGAAACATCCATATACACTCATTCACACACATAGGGCCCTATCATACACCTGGCGCAAGACGCGATGCAATTGTTGTTTGCTAGTTTCAGCTTTTGGCGCAAGAGTCATTTTGACGTTTTGCACCACGCTGTTTAAATAGCAAATGCATCTGCGCTCATATGTGAGCCCATAGGCGTTCTGGTCTAAAAAAGGATGTGTTGAGGTGCATTGCTGGCGCATTGCTATTTTGAGGAACTATAATAGATCGTTCAAGAGACCAAAACAAAGCCAGTCTAAAGTCCAGCGCAGAGCGCGTTAGTTGTGCGCCTCGCTTACACACTGCTTAATACACACAAGATGTACAGGAATAGGCAAAAATCTTTATATATATATATATAGGTTATAATAAGGATATATATAGGATATAAATATAAGGGATTAAAATATTACAAAACATATTATTTTCCAGCCTAAATAAATATAAAAAACATACTTTCATGCATTCTTCATCTTGGGAGGCTTTTTCAGTTTATTTATAACAATTTGCTTTTGTATAATGTTATTATTATTAGCAGTATTATTTATTATATCCATATTTATATTTGTTTTATTAAAAACAAACTTAGATTTGTCCACCTGTCAGGTTTTAGACCATATGGGTCACAGCATGTGTATTTGGATATAACTCTGTTTTTTGAGCACACTTCGTTATTATTGATCATTTGTTCGTTTGCTGGAAATTATAACTGAATTTAGAAATAGTTTTGAAACAAATCTTAACGCTTAACAAACAAAATTAATTATGTATAGGCTAATGGATGTCTGTGCGTTCAAGGTTTCCCTATCCACGAGAGTTAAGGTGAAAGTAAATAATGAGGAGGCTCATCTCTCATTCTCGCACTGCAGATGCTCTGTTTAACTGTTTTCTTGCTAGTTAGACGCTCAGTTTTTCCACCTACAAAGTCCGTCATGTAAATAGCAAATGCGCTATGGCGCGATGCAACTGGCTCTTAAAGGGAATGGGAGATGAGACTCTGATTAGTTTATTCTCAAAACACACCTATAACTCATTAAGAAAAAGCCCTTTTATACCATGAGCCACAGAGCAAAGCGGATATTTCCGTCACTGAAATAGCAAAAGTGGATTCTGACACGCCCTTAATGCTTTTGCCAAGGCTCAAACCAGCAACCTCCTTGCTGTGAGGCGATCATGCTACCCACTGCGCCACCTTGACACTCTAAATATTATTTATTTTGTAAAAATATTATATTATTTTGTAAAAGATACTAGTATCTATTTATATGCTACTCTTTTGCTTATTTTTAAATTAAAGTTATTATTTACCATCATGTACTGATACTTGATAGCTGATAGAATTTAGCAACTAGTGCTTCTTTCATACATTGCAATTATCATTCATTATATCCCAATTACGTTCACGTGGGTTTCCTCCGGCTGCTCCAGTTTCCCCCAAAGTCCAAAGACATGTGCTATATGTAAATTGAATAAGCTAAATTAGCCGTAATGTTTCCCAGAGTTTGGTTGCCTCTGGAAGGGCATCCGCTGCGTAAAGCATATGCTGGATAAGTTGGCTGTTCGTTCCGCTGTGGTGACCCCTGATGAATAATGGGACTATGCTAAAAAAGAAAAGTAATAAATGAATGAATATCCTAATCATTTTATTATTAGCATTTTGTAATAAGGTACTAGTACCTATTATATCGTAATCATTTTAACAAGTTTTTTTTCATTTCATATTAGCACCTATGAGAAATTATTCTCATAGTCGTAACTATTCATGCTGGGTTCAAGTGTTTCTTTATTAGACCCAAGTATCTTTTGTAACTGTTCTTATCTTTCTAATTAGTCAAATCTGCTTTTTCAAAATAAATTAAATAAAAACCTTTTATGAAATAAACGTTCAGAATGGCCACAATTAAATATGACATTTGACTAGTGAAATAAAAACTTTGGTCCCACTTTATATTAAGTGGCCTTAACTGATATGTACTTACACAAGAATTAATAGTTTGTTACAATGTACTTATTGTGTAAATACATGTATTTACTGTATACTTATGCTTGATTAAATACATGTATGTAAATACATCTGTAATTACCTTTTGTAATTACATTTGTAAATACACTGTTGCCCATCCCTTACGCCTCAACCCATCCTTAAACCTACCGATACCACCAAACCTGTCCATAACCCAACCTCTAACTAACTGAAAAGCACCACAAGTGTTCTCAAATACATTATAAACACAGTAAGTACATTGTATTTATTTATTTATTTATTTTTTTGATGCAAGTACATAGTAGTTAAGGATACTTAATATAAAGTGGGACCAAAACTTTGAACTAGTAGCATTTAAAGTAATGGTATTTAATAAATATGTACTAATACTGCTAATACTACTGTGTTAATATTAGCAGCAAATTACTAGGTACTAGTATTTATTGATAACATTTTATTTTGCTTCCTATAGAAATAAGTCATTTTTGCAAAAGTACATGCAACTAACCATAAACAGTGTATGTAATTAAAAGTGCTCATTACTTAAATATAGAGTTACTCGTACAATAAGTAAATAAGTGCTACTATCTAAAGATTAAGTAGTATCTAATGATAGGTGCTAGTATGTAAAACAATAATGACTAAGAAAAAAATACTGGTCACAATTCAAAAAAATTCCATTGAAAACTTAGCATCTCTCAATGAGAGATCCTCAAATCTATGGCTAATATCTGAAATGTGTTAATACCAATATAAATGTGTCAATACCAGTCACTAATAAATAAGTTCTAGTCTATCTGAAATACAGTATAAGTAATTTTTATAGCATTTAGGTAATACTGTTTACTGTTCTGTCCAGACTGCGACTTATACCGGGGTTTCTGCTGCAGGAGGAGGCCGACTGGATGTTTAGCAAATTACTTGCTGAACTACCCTGGTCACAAAAGACTAACTATAGGATGATGGGTAAGCATGTTAAAGTACTGTGCTGTACTGTACTGTACTGTACTGTAAATTGCCTTACCCCAACTCTACCTGTGAACCCAACTTTCACAGGAAACCTGTAGCAAAAAAATGTATGTCCAAAGACCTTATTAAGTATGATTTTTAATTATTTGACTTATGAAAACACAGGGTACGTCCTTTTAAATCAACACAACAGTGTAATGCTAGGTCATATCCATGTCATTTTACAAATGTGTGTCCTTGTAAACCACATAAAGCAGTTCAAACACACACTCAAACAACCAGCCAAAAGTTTTAGAATAGTTTTTTTAAAAGAAGTCTCTTCTGCTCACCAATTGTCTGTTTCCTCGTTCTGCAAACAGAAATCGAACTTCCGACCCACAGAGACTAATTGTAAACAAAGTAGCATTCGGTACCATTATCGCAGTAATTGTCACTCAACATGGTGAGTGCAAAATATATCTATTAATCTGATAATCCATATTGTTTGCAAATATTTTTAAAATGTAGTGAAATTGCAGCTGGCCTCTTTATGGTCCTTCTTGGCTTGAATTGTTTACTTGCTGCGCCACTTTACCATGTCACACTTGCTCTCTGATTCATTGCTGAGGGCTCTCTTCAGTCGACGTTCTGATGGCAATTGGACATGTTGAATCGGGCCAACGAGCTCAGACATTATCCTGATGAGAGGTGACATGTGCAACCGAAGTCACAGAAATAAGTTAAATATTTAATACATGATGCTTTTGTGGCTATGAGATAATGTAAATGCAGATGAGAAAACTGTTGCACAATCCAACTGTTTAAAAAATAATAATTTGTATGAATTTAGGTCTTCTGAGCTGAAACAATCACTTTATAAATTAATTTTATTTATTAATTAATCTCTTTTACGCTTAGTCCCTTTATTAATCTGGGGTCGCCACAGCTTAATGAACCGCCAACATATCAAGCATATGTTTTACGCAGCGGATGCACTTCCAACTGCAATCACTGGGAAACATCCATTCATACACATGCACTACAGACAATTTTAGCTTACCCAATTCACCTATACCACATGTCTTTGGATTATGGGGGAAACTGGAGCACCCGGAGGAATCCCACACTCCACTCAGAAACGCAAACTGACCCAGCCGGGACTCAAACCAGCAATCTTCTTGCTGTGTGGTGATTGTGCCACCCATTGCGCCACCGTGCTGCGGATATATTTTGGTGTTATTTAAAATTTAGTGTTTTTGAAATGCAAGCATTGATCAGTCTAAAAACTGCATCATATATACCTAACATTAAAGAACAAACCTCACTGGTTCTGTATGACACACAATATTGAGATTCCTCGAGCAAGCATGCTTAAGCTTCCTTGACCTAATTTGCTGTAAATGACATTCATTAATTAATGCTTATATGTGAATTAAAGTGGAAATCTTTCAAATTTTTTAATAAATTAAAATTTTAATGTTAAAATATTAATTTTAATGTAACTTTATTTTGGGGTCGATTAAGCTTGAAATTAAATTGACTAGCCTTTCTTATCAAAACTCTTTCATTCATTTTCTTGTCCGCTTAGTCCCTTTATTAATCCGGGGTCGCCACAGCGGAATGAACCGCCAACTCATCCAGCAAGTTTTTTTTACGCAGCGGATGCCCTTCCAGCCGCAACCCATCTCTGGGAAACATCCCCACACACATTCACACACACTACGGACAATTTAGCCTACCCAATTCACCTGTACCTCATGTCTTTGGACTGTGGGGGAAACCGGAGCACCCGGAGGAAACCCACACGAAGCCAGGGAGAACATGCAAACTCCACACAGAAACACCAACTGAGCCCAGGTTCGAACCAGCGACCTTCTTGCTGTGAGGCGACAGCACTACCTACTCTGCCACTGCCTCACCCTATCAAAACTCTTGATGTTTCTTAATTTTTTTAAAGAAATTTTTAGCGTGCTTCATGCATTTGAGTGGACTTGACAAACCAACTGTAGGTAACACACTCTTTTCCTCTCCATATGCACCAGACACTTTCTTATAAGCACCTCGCACTTCTTGGAAAACACTGTGCAATTCTGAGTGTGTTTTATACAGGTGAATGGGCTTTACAAACCACCTGTAGGACACACTCTGTCCTCTCTGTATGCTCGTCGAATAAGTCACCAAATTTTGACTTGTTATATCATTTTCATTTCTTTCATCAAGAAGTAAAAGCAACCCCTCAATATATATTCCTCAAAAACCATTGCTAAACAGGTTTAAATCAAGCCATTCAGACACAACCTGCATTCGTAAATCACAGTTAAAATGGTTCAAAAGCAGTTCCCAGTTTTGTATAAGGACATATTTTGAGGCTTGGTTGAAATATGAAGAACAGGTTGAATCTGACCGAATACCATAACAGGAGTATGAAAATAATCTTGCTTTTTAACATGCATGATGACGTTACGTGTTTGTTTTCCTCAACGCATGTTCACAAAGTGGTCTTCCCACAATCACTCACTGTTTCCAGTCCTATTTCATCAGTAAATTGGCAGGAATGCCACTGCCTCCACTTCTCTCATCTGTTTACCTTCTCCAGAGCTGACAGCATTTGAAAAAGTCCCAAATATACCAAATGTTCAAACATTTGCTTTGGCCCAGGAGCAGGTCAGGTTTGAATCTGACTGTTCGAGATTCATTTTGACAAATATATTCAAGCTTTCGGGCCTTATTTGGCATGCTGAAGATGAAGGTTTTTTTTGTTACTAAATGTTAAATGAATATTTCTAAATTAGGCAATTGAAGAGATCAGATTCAAAGCTACTAAATGGAACCACAATGTTGTGCATCTTTAGTAAATATGAAGATCACATAGTTCTTTAGAGGTTGATTTAGTTTTAAATCAAGATTTGTAGCATTTTTAAAGGTATAGTGAAAAAAGCAAAGTTCTGTTTTCTTGACTCAACCATGACCAGTTTGATAAGGTATTTTGAAGAATGTTGGAAACCGGCAAGCAGTGACATCCATAGTAGAAAAAATCTAAGTTATAACTATTGAAGACAGTGGTTTGCACTTTCCAGCATTCTTCAAAATATTTTCTTTCGTGTTCAACAGATTGAAACAACTCAAACTGGCAATCTGAGTAAAAATGGGTTTAACAGTTTAACATTTAAAGCAGTTTTAAAACTGTATTTTAACTGTTGTTTTAAACAGTTGCACATTTCAGTTTCACATTTCATCATAATTAAAAAAATAAAATTGGATAATGCAAAAAGAATACTGGGTTTGTAAAAAAAAAAAACAATGGCTAAAGTGACATTTCTGTGAAAAAGAAAAAAGAATTGTTTGCTATCTAATCCGCTTGTTAAGTGTGACGTCACGCGAAGCGGCTTCCGGGTCCAAGCGCTCTATTCAACTGAATGGGGAGACTCATGAAATGGTAATAATAAACGTTTACAAAGCGATTTAATACTTTCGAAAATAACGATCGCAGTATATATGTCCATGCCTAATATCCGATGTCAGAAAGTGATTCATTTTTTTTTAAATTGTTACATTTTTGCCATTTGTTATGCAGCAGGCCCAGAGATTGCTGTGTACACTATGATTTTACATAAAATTAACTTTAATGTGTGATAGGAATAAAACGTGATCATAAACGAATGATTTCTCCACTCAAATGAATGGCGACTTGGACCCGGAAACAGTATTACATACGTCATCACTTAACAAGCGGATAGCCTTATTATTACAAGTTCAAAGCACACGAAAAGTGACAAAATTAAAAAGCATTTATTAACATGGGCTATAATTTAAAAAAGACATCACTTTGAGGAGTACCGACACAGAAGCACCTTTCATTTGATTATTACCAATCTTGTACGACCTCCACTGCCTCCCAGTTGCATATCGCATTAAATTCAAAATTCTCCTCCTTGCATTTAGATCCCTAAATAGCCTAGCTCCCTCCTATCTCTGCAACATCCTTGTCCCCTACACCCCTACTCGTTCATTACATTCCGCTGACTCTGGCTTTCTCGCTGTCCCTCGGTACCGCCTCTCTTCAATGGGGGGCAGATCATTTAGTGTTATTGCACCCAAACTCTGAAACTGGCTAACACGCTCACTCCGCTCTGCTAATAACATCTTTGAATTCAAATCCTTAAGACTCACTTATTTTCTAAATGCTTCTCTTCTGACCTGCCAAACTGACTACTTCATCTGATCCACCTCCACTCTGCTCATTTGTCTCCTAGGTCTTGTTTGTGTAATTCCAGTTTGTTATATTTGACTTCTTGTAGGCCTATGTTTGTTTATACAACAGTTCTGTCTGGTTCTTGAATCTCATTGGCTGATAGCCGTGATATATTTAAGTAATATCAGCACCCGTACAGCCTCTTTACCCTTTGTGTATTACTCCGCCCACATACAGCCAGCAACAATCAGACACTACAGATGTAAAGTTTAAAAGATGCTTGCTCAGCTATTTAACTGTCAGCTTATGATTTGAATCCAAGGTGGAAGAAAGTAGTTCCTCATACAAAAGGGTTTTTGAGACTCTCCATGTTTGATTTTGTTTTTATATACACAATTATGCCGTCAAACTGTTGTATAAACGCAATATCACACTCGTAGCAGTGCGATATGGCTGTATATCGGCACTGGTGGGAGGCGTGCGTTGGCACGAGGCCCACACTCGTAGCAGTGTGATATTGCTCATTTATCTTTTGGTCTCATTCCTTGTAAAGTGTCCTTGAGCTTTGGAAAGGCGCTATATAAATAAAAATTATTATTATTATTATTATTGTTACCTTTTAAAAATATTGAACCTGAACATATAAGAAATTAGATTAAAAAAAAGAGTCTCACATATTTAGATTGTTTAGAATCTGCACTTATCAGTTACATTTTTTTAAAACCTTAACCGTTATTGTTTTGTTCTTCAGGGGATGCATATGAGGAGCCCAGGCTGACCTGTTGGTATGGAGAGCTGCCATATACATATTCACGATCCACTATGGAAGCAAACGCTCAGGTATTGTTACTTGTCTTAATGCTACATTTATTTATGTACTCTTTTTATGTTAGCAAAAACTGATGTCTCTTTTTATATTTCTGTTTTTGAGTGAAATAAAAAAAAAAAAATTGGCTTCAAGTGGAGTTTCAAGCCTTAGACCGGCCCACCTCAGTTCACGACTAACTATATTAAAATAAAGTTCAGAAATTCAGTTTCTAATGACACTATCATGTCTTTTTCAAGAAAACAGCTGCTTTAGAACTTCAAATGTTAAACAACCTTACAGTTTTGTATGTCTTAACAATAAAAATGAAAAAAAAAAAAAAAACTAACTCAGGTGAGAATCAAACACAGGTCGACGGCGAAGCAACCCAACGTGCTGACCGCTGGACCACAACGGCACTGTTAAGACTTGTGTGGCCGGAATAATACTTAATCCTCATCATTACCCTGCAGGCAAAAGTTTACTCATGGGGCTGCGAGACAATAAATAAGAATAGCAGAGCTGCGGCAAAATAATGGATAAAAAGAGTGAGGCTATGGTCAAATAAATAAATAAATGATAAAAGGGGCGACTGCTGCTTTCTCCGTTCGCCATGCTGGAGAGGAACAGTCTGCGCAAATAGAGCGCAGAGTGGGTGTCCTTGACTACAGCTCTCCTCTGATTGGCTGAAAGGTACGAGTTACCCTGCCTCTGGCAGGAAAGTCTCAAAAATACACACACACGTATGCAGGGGGAGTCGTACGTGAAAGAGGATTTGCACATTCTCATTCAGGATGAACTCGCAAGTTTTAAACATTCAAAACTTTTTGTACACTCCTATACATTTGCAAATGGTGTTTTGCATTTGTGAAACGTATTTTATGAAAATGTATTTTTATTTTGAGCACGTGAAATTTTTTCGTGAATATAAATAAATATTTTACGCATGTGAATTTGGGTTTATGCACGTGAATTTGGCTACGCATGTGTAAATCGTGTCTTTTGCATGAATTACTTTTGAGTCTTATCTGTCTCCATATTATTAGCCCCCCTTTTAGTTTTTTTAAATGTTTTTAAAATTTCTCAAATGATGCTTAACAGGGCAAGAAGATTTTCACAGTATGTCTGATAATATTTTTTTTTTCTGGAAAAAGTCTTATTTGTTTTAATTCAGCTAGAATAAAAGCAGTTATTAATTTTTTAAACACCATTTTAAGGACAAAATTATTAGCCCCTTTAAGCTATCTATTTTTTAGATAGTCTACAAAACAAGCCATCATTATACAATAACTTGCCTAATTACCCTAACCTGCCTAGTTAACCTAATTAACCTAGTTAAGCCTTTAAATGTCACTTTAAGCTGTATAGAAGTGTCTTGAAAAATATCTAGTCAAATATTATTTACTGTCATCATGGCGAAGACCAAATAAATCAGTTATTAGAAATGAGTTAATAAAACTATTATGATCAGAAATGTGATGAAAAAAATCTTCTTTGCGTTAAACAGAAAATGGGAAAAAAATAAACAAGGGGTCTAATAATTCAGAGGGGCTAATAATTCTGACTTCAACTGTACTTTACATGCCAATTTGCACTTAACAGCTGTACATAACGTTGTATATAGTAATATACCCATACATACACTTGTCAGTTTCTATATTTGCAATCACTACTTGCTACTACTATTTTAAAATATATTTCAGGGCTCAACAATAAGGACTGCCCGGTGGCCCGGGGCCAGCATGTGAGATGCTCGGGACATTAGACAGGATCGTTACTGGCCCGATCGGGCCTTGTCACTAAAGTTTAATTTGCCTGTGACTTTTTGTCAATTGCGTGCAAATACAGTCTGAGAATTGAGAAACTGTTTGTTCAAGCCTTCAAATGAAAAACAGTTTTTTCAAACCTTCAAATGCTACCTTCTCGGTTCTTCTTATCTGATTGGATGTTGTGAGCACATTATTTTTTCCCCTATTAACCAGTACAGCGAAGAGACTGCAACATGGCGGTAACATCAAATGATTATGCTAAAGGGAAAACATTTGTTTCTAAGGTCTTGGAAGCAGACATTTACGAGGGTGCACCACGACTAAAAAAAATAAATGATGTTTTGTACAGTTTGCCGTCAGTTTGGCAGGTCAGCCATCTTTTGTTTCAAAACACTTAGAATTTTTCTCATTATACATTAATTAACATTTTTAAATATTTAAATTCTAGATTTACAAACATTTTGACATGTTTTTTTTTTTTTTATTTGTGGTTAAGAAATATCTATTAACTCTTTTTTTGGTGGGGCCAGTGAAAATATTGGCAGGGCATGTAAAAAATCTGAACCATTGGTACGATTGGGCCAGTAGAAAAAAACCTTAGCGTTGAACCCTGTATTTGTTATGTGTCTTTTGTCCTGTCTCTGTCATTCTGTTGCACTTTAGAAGCGCTGTCAAGAAAACAAACCCTTGTATGTGTGAATATACCTGGCAATAAAGCTCTTTCTGATTCTGATTAGTTTCTTATTTTATATTGTCTTTTTACAGTGGCATCCTGTTCTCGCTACTCTGCGTTTGGCTGTTGAGCAGAAAAGTGCTCACAAGTTTAACTCATTGCTGTGTAATCTGTATCGGGATGGTAAAGACAGCATTGGTTGGCACAGTGACAGCGAGCCGTCTTTAGGACCCCAGCCCATCATCGCCTCTCTGAGTCTGGGAGATACTAGAGTGTTCAGCCTTCGAAAGCAGCCGCTTCCTGTATGTCCTTTTTCTTAACCTCCTGCCACAATTCATGTTAGGGATTTAATAATATGTATAGTAGTGTTTTCTATAACACTGCACAATATATTATGGCTGCAAACGAAATGGCATTATTTCTCACAATAGTTGTGAGAAAGGAAGTTTTAAGGGCTTACGAAATAAAAAATAAAGTGGGTTATAGATGAAGACATCGACATGGCCATAAATGTTAGAAAATGTAATCATTTTACTATTATAATTGTCCAAGTGCTTTTCTTTTTCTAATGGTAATAATATTTGTAGTTATTATTATTTTTATATAATAGTTTTATAATAATATCACTATTTTATAATAGTATTATAATTAAATAATAGTTTTGTTTGCAGTGAAATATATAGCTAAAATAATATTTTTAGTATAGTCTTTTTTTATATATCTTTTTTATAGATCAAATAAATCAGTTATTAGAAATGAGTTAATAAAACTATTATGATCAGAAATGTGATGAAAAAATCTTCTTTGCGTTAAACAAAAAATGGGAAAAAAATAAAAAAGGGGTCTAATAATTCAGAGGGGCTAATAATTCTGACTTCAACTGTACTTTACATGCCAATTTGCACATAACAGCTGTACATAACGTTGTATATAGTAATATACCCATACATACACTTGTCAGTTTCTATATTTGCAATCACTATTTGCTTCTATTTTTAAATATATTTCAGGGCTCAACAATAAGGACTGCCCGTTGGCCCGGGGCCAGCATGTGAGATGTTTCTATAACATGGCCATAAATGTTAGAAAATGTAATAATTTTACTATTATAATTGTCCAAGTGCTCTTCTTTTTCTAATGGTAATAATATTTGTAGTTATTATTATTATTATATAATAGTTTTATAATAATAATACTATTTTATAATAGTATTATAATTAAATAATAGTTTTGTTTGCAGTGAAATTTATAGTTTTACAGTCACAATCTCAATTCTTTAACTGCCCCACCAAGAAAAACAAAATGTTTATTGCATTTGTTCACGCTCAATGCATTTTTTAAACACATCTCATAGTTTACATGAAACTTCTTTGAAACTTTTAGTAGAAAAGATCATTTTCTACTAAATGGTTGATATGTCGTTTATGGTATAGCATGAAAAAATCTGAAAATATGAAGTGTAAGACCAATTTATTAAAAAAAAAAAAAAAACATTTTTTAACCAGTTAAACTCTGCGGACCCGGTACATGAATACATTTATAAATCACTAAGCAGCCCCAGATAGCACAGACAGCTGTCATCTCTTACCTTATGCTGTGCGCTTCAGGGCCATTCTCCTCTGTTTTTGAGGTGATGTGCATAAGTAATCCTTTCATATGTCTGACGTGGTGCAAACACAGTGAATTATGTTTGATCAAACAAAAGTATAGTGAAATATCAAGACAATGATCGATCCCTGTGGCTTATACAGCACCTCTCATCAGTTGGAATACAATAACTTTTGCATAGATTATGGTAGAGACATTGTTCTTTTTCCTATGATTACAGACATGTGCAGGAAACACCAAAATTAATTACAGCACGCTAGACCACACAGAACCTAAAAGGTACACTTTCAAATTAGAGTTGAAAAAAATTTTTTTTTGAAAAATACAAAAAGCGCCTCTTTTTTTTTTAGGTGTTTATTATAACACAGACAACATATACAGATATTTTTAACACTTTCAATAGTGTCTTATGAAAATTCAAATGGTTTTCTTTAAAATGATACCAAATTTTTGCATTTGCACCTCTGCATGTGGATTTGGGAAGCTTTTTAATTTGGGTAGGCAAAATCCAGGCGGAAATCCCAAAATAACAGCAGAGTTTAACTGGTTAATACTAAATTATCTTTATTTTTTGAAGTAAGAAAAATTAGGTTTGAAAAATAGCAACACATTGTGCCAAACACGTCCTGTGTCTTATTGCGCTGGGTGCATCATAGTGCCTTGCATCACCGGGAGATGCAATCTCAGCTTGCATCATTAAGGCTGCATCCAGATACTGTCGGATTTCCTTAGATTATGCATCACAGCAATATGGCTACAGTACCATATTGGTTATAGGCTGATATTAAAGTTAATAGTATTAAAAAATATATCATTTTAATAGCAATGTTAAATGTAATGTTAAGAAAATCTGACTTATCTATACTATGTTGATGTAGTTATGCCTAAAATCATAAATGAACTACCATTTAAAATGTATTTATTTAAGTATTTTATTTTCAGTGGTGTAAAGTAACTAATTACAAACACTCAAATTACTGTAATTGAGTAGTTTTTCTCAGGAATTGTAATTTAGTAAGTAGTTTTAAAAATGTGTGCTTTTACTTCCCTTTGAGTACTTTTTTAGTGCAGAAATCAGTACTTTTACTCCACCACTTTCCTTTAACCTAAAGTCACTACTTTATTTTTTCTTGTCTATGGGGATTATAAAAATCAGTCCTGTGATTCCTGTCCAATCAAATCTCACCTAGAAGGTTTATCGCCTTTTAATGAACTACCTCAAAATAGGGCTGATCCAAAGAAATATATTAATGCGATTCAAATAATAAAATACATGAATTAATGTTTACTTTAAACTAGTTATAAATATATATTAATATTGTTTAATTATAATGATTAAATTATTATTTTTTTTTGTCAAATAATTTTGTGGCTAAAAAGTATCGGTTCAGGCACCGTTTTGGCACCGGTACCATTTTAAAAGTATCGATTTAGCACCTGTATTGAAATTACCCCAAACGATACCCAACCCTACCTCAAAACATTTGCGCTTTACAGTTGCAGCAAACTGTTTGCAAGCAATAAAAGTGTTCAAGATGTCCAAAATCTTTACATGCATTGACCCAGAGACTGTTAAGATGCATGTCACTGATGAGAAGATGACAGATGTTTACTGTATGATGATCGAAATGGCCTTAAACATCCAGCAGGCACAAGATGTCAACATGATGTCAGAATGAAGTTGTACCCCAATGTCATGGAGATGTCACATTTTGTTTTCCATGAAAATCATGGAAGTATCAGCATGTGATGCCAAAATGACGTTGGATGTTTGCTCGACATTGGATTTTGGTCACTTTCCAACACCAATCCTAAAGTCAACCAAATATCAACGTCATTTGATGTTGTTATTGAACAAATAACGTTGTCCTTAGATGCTGGCTAGTCAATCTAACCTAATGTCAATGTCTTATGATGTTGTGTGCCTGCTGGACAATAACTCGATGCACTACAGAATGTTACGTTTACACACATGCACAAAATACATGTAAACGCATCAGCTTTTAGAAGCGTAATACTCACTACTCACTATTCTTTAGTACTTTTGAAAGGGCTACTATTTACTCATACTCTGAGTAATATTTACAACAGATACTTTTACTCTACTCACACTACATTTTTACTCTTTCCACCACTGTTTATTTTTAATTAGTTGTTAAATTCAAAATTAGCCTTTTTAATTTTTCGGCCATACAGTGAAAATAAATACTGACTTGTTATTACGAGCAATAATTTTAAAATACAATTTAATATACGTAGTTTTAAAATGTAGATATTAATCATTTTTATTAGAAATGTTCCTATTTTTTTAGCCCGTACTAAAATAAATCAGAGCGTGTTTGCTTTTGACATCTGGTTATGTTTCCATTATGTGTTTCCTTTTTGGTTTGAATAGAAAAAAAATTTGTAAAAAAAAAAAAAATACTTTGACCTGGTTTCCAACAGGTGGCTAAATGTTTTGTCTGCTCAGGCTTGTTTGAAGAATGGATGTTTGTGTAAGGTTATTGTAGATGCTGTGTTTGTGTTCCAGGAAGATAAAGGAGATTTCACCTATGTGGAGCGCATACGCGTCCCGCTGGCCCATGGCACACTACTGCTGATGGAGGGCTGCACGCAGGCGGACTGGCAGGTACTTTACTTTCGGCTGCTATGAAGGAAATATCTGCAGTCATGATGATTTTGTACAGATATGAATAGATTTTCTAATGGAGGTAAAAATATCTTTCAGTGTTTTAGTGTTCATGCTTTTGCATTCTTTCGCAAAAATGTTTCATTGAAAGCATAGTGTCTCATGAAAAACACAATTTTTTTTTTGAGGATTTCACAGATGTATTACCCAAAATATATCATTGTAAACCCAAAATATTTTTTCACAAAAAAGTTTCACGAAAGAATCCAAAGTTTCTGAGTGGAACTATTACGCCCCAAGTCTAGGGGAAACAAAAAGGGCATAATAAACGAAGGAAAAACAAATGTGTTGGGGTTGTGGATTTCCCAAACTAAACAAAACTTAAAGCAAAAGATTCCCTTCGGTCGACAACCAAACTCACACACTCAATTGAGAGTATATATGAAGATATTTATTATAGAAAAATAGGGTTTATATATATATGAGCATTTCGTCAGGGTGACCACAGGCCAAAATAACAAACAAAAGAATCTATAAAATAAATCCACTAAATTACCTATTACTATTTAAATAAAAAATACAAGAATCTAACCTTACTCCCTAACATAAACAAAGTCAAACTCTCAAAAAATATTCAAGCATAGGATGGTTATCAATACAAAGTTGGTTGGTGTTTGATCGTCGGCCGAAGGGGTGAGGGAAACCCAGGAGCTCCACTCCAAACACTGAACGCAGCAGAAATGAGCTCCCCGATCCCTGCCGGAAGCTCCCTTATATACAGGCCTCGAAGACCAGCAGCCAATCAGAGCAGGGAATCACTCCGGCTTGGGAGCCTATAAGACAACAGAAAAACAGCAAGAAGGCGGGACAAAAGAAAAAGAGTACAATCCGCAATAATAAACAAATAATTAAACTTCAGTCGTAACAGGAACCCAAAGATTTAGTGAGAGTGCAGAGTTTCCTAGAGCAATGCAAATAATTTGTGAAAAAAAAATGCAGATGGGAAAACACAAACATTTACTTTACTGTAATGATTGCTGGGTTTCACTTACAGGCATGGGCCGTTATAAGTTCCTGACGGTATGATAACCTTGGATAAAAATATCCCAGTTTCATTTACTGTATCATGGTATTGTGATTACTAATGTAAAGTAGTTTTTTTTTTAAATATCTGGGTAAGAAACAGCATTTTTTCCTCATTGAACTTAAAATATTTTATTTTAGGAAGCTTTTACATTTACATTTAGTCATTTAGCAGACGCTTTTATCCAAAGCAACTTACAAATGAGGACAAGGAAGCAATTTACACAACTATAAGAGCACAAGTGAATAAGTGCTGTAGGCAAGTTTCAGGTATGTAAAGTGTAGTTTTATAATATTTTGGAACCGTAAACATGTCAGGTTTGATAATTCAAACAAATAATTGACTTCTGCTGTCGCCATTAGTTTCAAAAACAGATTTCTTTACAAAACATAAAAAACATTTTAAAAAAAAACTTACATATACCTTAAGAGCAGTAAAATAATTTTTTTGCGGTTTTTAAATTTTGAGTTTTCCAAACCGCTGTAAACCATGACACTGGTTCTCGTCCCATGCCTTGTTCCACTCAATCGATGTGTTGGGACAACATGAAGGAATTAAGTTAAATTATTAGTTATTACAAACGTAAGTACATTGAACATAAAACCATTAAGTTGTTATAAAAAAACTAAATTATTGTATTGTTTCAGCTTATTTTATATAAGTAGTTTAAACAAACAGCAACCTTAATTGTCTGAGTTGGAGAACGAGAGGGTTTCTGAGCGGAGCACAAATATTTGGGAAAAAGAGTGCAAAGTTTCTAAGGGAAACGCAAATTCATTTCATTTCATTTTTTTGTTGGCTTAGTTCCTTTATTAATCCGGGGTTGCCACAGCGGAATGAACCTCCAACTTATCCAGCAAGTTTTTACGCAGCAGATGCCCTTCCAGCCGCAACCCGTCTCTGGGAAACATTAACACACACACATTCACACACACACTCATACACTACGGACGATTTAGCCTACCCCATTCACCTGTACCGCATGTCTTTGGACTGTGGACTTGCTGTGAGGCGACAGCACTACCTACTGCGCCACTGCTTCACCCGGAAACGCAAATATTTAGCAAAAAAAAAAAACTACTGTTTTTGAGGGAAAATAAAATAATTAGCAAATAAATACAACATTTATGGTTTTAGGTGAGCGCAAATATTTAGCAAAAGAGTGCAAAGTTTCTGAGGAGAATGCAAATATTTAGCACAAAAATTTTTTTAGGAAAACGCAAATATTTAGCAAAAGAATGTGAAGTTTCTAAATGAAACAAATATTTTTCAAAAAACTGCATAGTTTTGTTTATGAGGGGAATGCTTTATGAGGGAAATGCTTGTTTATGAGGGGAATTTAGAAAAAAAAATTAAGGGAAACGCAAATATTTTGCAGAAGAGTTTAAAGTTTCTGTGAAGAACGCAAATATTTAACAAAAGAATGCAGTATTTCTGAGGAAATACCAGGGAATACAAATATTTAGCAAAAGAATTCAGCTTTTCTGAGGGAAATATTTGCAGCAAATATTTTGAAAAGAATGCAGAGTTTCATTTATGAGAGATTTTTTATTTTTTTTTAAAGAACAAAACATTTTGAAGCCATTGCTAATATTTAGCAAAAGAATGTGAAGTTTCTGAGGAGAATGTAAATATTTAGCAAAAAAGCAACCTTTTTGAGGGGAAGGCAAATATTTAGTAAAACAATACAGTCATGTAGAAATTTTGTGAGAGAATGCAAACACTGCAAGAAAATGTATAGATTCTCTCACAAAAAACAGCATTGCTTTAGGAAACTCAAAAACAGAAAAGCATATAAACCTTTTAAAATGTCTTTATTTTTTAACAATTTTGCCGTTTCATCAGGTTACACTTTAAAAAATATGGTAAATAACAGTTTCCATATTTTGTGTTCTGTCTACTTATGGTTATAAATTTTATAATAAGACCTTGATCTCTGCTCTGTCGACTTTTGATGTTAAAAAATCAACTCTACAGTTTAACAAAATTACATTTATTGACTGTTCTAGTACTTTGAAATAATATAATGTATAAAAACTAATATATAAATAAACAAGTCTGTAAACAGAAAATGCACTGCAGTTTAGTGCTAGGTTTTTGCAGCTTAAAATACAACACCAACCCAGACAATATATCACTTCAAACTATTAAAAATGTTCATAAAGTCACAAAAAAATAAAAACATGAATCACAAAATACGGAAAACTGTTAACTTACGGATATTTTTTTTGTGTAGATGTTAATAATTAGAAAGAATATTAAATATGCAACACATTAAATATTGTTTTTATATTTTTTGAAGATGCCACTGTCTTGATCAGTAAATCAAATCATTCTGGAAATCATTTGAACTAATTCACAAGATCTGTGACTGAATGTACCTTCACAGTTTAATGGGACTGTAAGAACTGGCAGGAACTCTTGTTTAGTCTAATAAGAGCAGTTAATAACAGTGTTATGCATCCTGATGAAAAGACAGACTGTGAAGAAAGGATGAAATTCATATCGGATCAGAGGGTTGAGTAGAGACTGTTCCTTTGTTTTGGCAACAGCACTTTTTGGAAAAGGGGTCACACATGGTTAGGATGATCAGGAACAGTCACACTGCCTTTGAGAGTACAAACGCTGTTTTCTACGTATGTGTAATAGTGTGAAGGGGGAACGTGAACTTGTTTCTTCACAGCATAGAGAAGCAGACAGTGTTTCCAAGAAACACTTTGCACACCATACAAATGTAAAAAAAAAAAATGTTTTAATAACAGTTTTATAATTTAATTGAAAATAATATCTGTTATTCATTAAAAAAATGAACATTTGTAGTTTAATTTGCTTGTTTATTTACTTTACTTGGCATTTTTTATATCATGAAAACTAAAGTTTTGTATTACCTTAACAATAATTTCATTAATGATTACATTTAACATTTTTGTACATTTAGTTTTGTTTAAACAAGCTATTGTGCAATTTCTTAACTGGAATTTTACAGGTTGTAGTATTTTTTAACTGTTATAGCTTGTTTTTTTGTAATTTTATAGATAATAATGTGTCTTATTGGGTTATTCTATGAATTTTCATAGTTCCATGTAACCGTTTATTTATTTTTGCTTATTATTTTGTAATTTTACTGTACAGTTTTGGGATTTTTGTGTGTTATTTTAGTATCATCAAATAATTCCATAAAAAAACTTCAATAATCATGATTACATTAAAAGCAGTTGCACTTGTAGTTTTGTTTAAACAGATGGTTTTGCATTTTTGTTTTTTTATTTGTCAAGAATTTCATATTTTCAAATTTTATTTAATATTTGTTGTCATTTCTTTTAAGATGTTTTTTGTAGAATTTCCTTTGAGCTTTACAAGAAGTCAATCATCAAATCAAGATGAGTAAATAACTTTTTTTGTCAAATAAAATAAAATAAAAAAACTAGCACTGGTCAAAAATCAGTAAATCATAGATGAGTTGATTTTGAAAATACATATCTTTGTTATTATGCATTATAATGTCTTAAAAAACAAGCTAGAAGTTATTTTTGTCCTGTTTATGAGTTGTTTTTGGATTCCGACTAAAAGACGAACCGCAGACCTTTGGTGAGGCACAAAGGAGGAAGAAAGGTCAAGAACATTTTATGGTGACATCTGCAAACTGTTTAAAAAAGGTCACTCGCGGATTGTGCCAAAAAGCTTTCAGTCGATCTTATTAGGTTTCCGTAACTCACATTGACCTGTCAAAATAAAGCTAAAACTAAACTAAACCCACATGTATGGATGTTTGCAGTAGCCTTTAAATATTTAAAGGCTTTGAAAGCTGTTACATAATCGTTTTCTGGATCAAAATATAACCGGACACCAATTCAACATAGTAGTGGCAACGTAAACACACTGCTTTTGCTCAGTCAAGCTAAATTCTTCATCATCCTCGGATCCAAACAAACATGACAATGCGTATTTGTATGTTTAAATTATTTAATACAATTCATGCATCTTGCAAAGCGCACACTGGCCGTCAAAAGTTTGGGATTAAGTAGGATTTTTTAACTTTTTTAAAAGAAGATAATTTATTCTGCTGACCGAAGCTGCATTAGATTGGTCAATAATACAGTATACAATTGTTAAATAACATTAGAATTTAAAACAATAGAATTATTATTGCATTATTGAATAATCTCTCAGATTATATAAATTTCAGATTATATAAATTTCTGTGATTCAAAGCTGAATTTTCAGCATAATTACTCTCTGTCGTCAGTGTCAGATAATGATCCTTCAGAAATCATTCTTATTTGCTGATTAGCTGCTCTATTGTGATCAGTTATTATTGGTACACAATCATCAATAATTATATTTTCTCATAATTATCGATGTTAAAAAAAACAATTCTCCCCTGCTTCAAAGTTTTGTGGAAACTGTGATACATTTTACTTTTAAAGGGCACCTATGATGAAAATCTACTTTTGTAAGCTGTTCAGACAGAACTGTGTGTAGGTACAGTGTGTACACTGTCATATTGAAATGATAGAAACACAATAAGTCTCTTTTTAAATATTTCCTGACTGGGACAAAAATTCCAGTGATTTTGAGGCCCACTGCAACGTGTGCGGTTTTCCCTTCCCACCAATTGATTGACAGACGCCACGTTTCTATAACAACATGTATACACACATCCGCTGAACATTTTTTTTTGCAAATTAACTGGGATTAAAATATTTTCTACCTCTGTGATTTTATAAGTTTAAAAACAGAGTATGTTTGTAACGAAGACAGTAAAATCGCTACGTAATTCTTAGTTAATATAATCACCATGGCGCCATGTGTGTGCGTGCGTGTGCGTGCATGTGTACGTATTGCAAACAGCATTTGTGGTAGACTCATCATTTCAGAATGGCTTGAATAAACTACACCCCAAATATGTTAAATAAACTTAGTATTTTCTACTAATTAGCTGTATTTCAGCTTCGTCTGTGTCTGTCACTGACTGCTGTTTATCTGATGTAACATGATGAGGAGGAACGGTGGGCGGGGAGACCGAGCTCATTTTCATTTAAAGCCACAGGCTACAAAAACAGCTACAATGAGCTGAAACTTTACAGACAAATTCTTGAGACACCAAAGGCTTATCTTACATCTTGTAAAAGGGGTAAAACAGTTGATCTTTAATAATTCTTCAAAAACTAGTACACCTAAATTTATAGGTCATAGAAAAATATTAAATACAAATGTAAAAAAAGAGGCAAAGTCAAGAGAAGCAAAACAATGGAAAAATGTTGTAGAAATTTTGTAGGTTGTAATTTATTTAGCAATATTTAACTTGAATTTAATTGTATTGTCTTTCGATTTCTAAATATGTTTGGTGACAAATGTTATTTTAATAAATGTATCTGTTAATTACATCTGTTTTGTTGAAATACACCAAAATACATTCACTGACAAATGGATACAAATATTTATTTTAATAATGGGGTGTACTCAATTATGCTGAGCACCGTACACTACTTAACTTTTGTTATTTTTTACAGCCTATAATACAGATTAAAAACACAACCACAAGTATGTGTGGATGAGAAAGTCATATGATGAACTGCACAACTCACAAACAACCTTTTTCACAAGCAGAAAAACATAATAATTTATAGAAGGTGCTGAGTGTCGTTCATACAACCACTAAACACCATCATAGTAACATACATAAACTTAAAGTTACGTCATTAACACTTTTTACTAACATTAGATGTAACATAAAACTCTAATGAAAGTAACACTATAAAGAACCACAGTAATGTTAAGAAAAATGCATAAAAATTGAAGCGTGATGCAGGGAATTTTGGGATTTATGGTTATTTACCATACATATATATATATATATATATATATATATATATATATATATATATATATATATATATATATATATATATATATATATATATAAAGAAAGAAAGCTTACTATTAAATATGCTATGGATTTTTATTGTGGCATTTTTACAATTGAAATTATGGACTTTTTGTTGTTGTTGACAATATTGATGTTTAATTATATGCTTTTTTGACAGCACCAGGTGGCAAAGGAGTACCATGACCGTGGGCCACGAATAAACCTCACTTTCCGCACCATATATCCAGAACCACAGCGTAGCGGTGGGAGATTTGTGACATAATCGCTGAGAGAAGAAATCAGAAGAGGTCTGTGATTGAGGCACACACCTTTTTGTTCAGTTTCTATATTTATTGAGATGTGAATGTTCACGTTCATGTAAATAAATAGTTTGGCTGTAATAGCATTGTTATAATTTTCTTACAGCAGTTGCTTTTGTTATCAAAAACATTCACAGGTATTACTTGTTTACGACTTTTGGAGTATATACGTCAAATAAACAGTGCCTTGTGGCCTATATATCAGTTATAGTCCACCAAAGGCTGTTTTTAGGGATAATTTGTTGTCTAAATGTTGCATGTTCTGCAACTTTTTCATTTATTGCTTGTAGTAAATAAACCTTAATTACAAACATTTGTTCAATGCCATTATGGGGTTTGTTAGAGTACCGCTCGGAAGTTTGTTTTTGTCAAGAAGTTTTATTAATTTTTTTGCTCTTATTTAATTTAAAGCACTGTAAACCTTGCTTTATATTTAATTTCAAATAAAAGCAATCTCATTAACTTAGTTTATGTGCATTCATTCCGTGCTGAAGTTGCAATCTTATGAGATTTCAACTGTTAGAAAGTGTTCACAGCCTCGTTAAACCTTTAATCAAAATTTCGATTAATTGAACATTTTAACTCGATTACAATTATTTATTTTATTTATTTATTTTGCCCTCATAATTCACTGACAGGTTTTGTACAGTAAATATGCTCATATTTACTGAATCATCAACACCGAAACTTGAATTATGGAAGATGGGATTGAATGAGGATATATCGGATGAATGGAGACAAGTCTGTAAAAATTCTCAGAAACAGTTAGGGAGCGTTAACTTAAAACTACTTCAATATAACTGGTTGATGCAGACTTACATAATTCCTGTCAAACTAAATAGGTTTAATAAAAATATTCCTGATACACCACAGGAAAGGACACCAAGTGCTGGAGACTATGTGGGTCTCAGGAGCCTAATCACTGGCATATTTTTTGGGAATGTCCAGTAATAAAACAATTTTGGGTAGAAGTACATAAAGTAATAGAAAACATACTTAATATCACACTACCCTTTCAATTCATAGTTATTTATTTTGGAAGCTCTGATATCCAAATATGTAAATCTGATAAAAACTTACTTGATATTATAATAATCGCAGGCAAAAAAAAGCAATTACAAGACACTGGTTACTTCCTGAATCCCCAACAACCCAAGAATGGCTAGAGATAGTATATAATATTTATGTGATTATGTGAAAAAATTACATTCTCCCTTCGACTCCAAATTAACGCATTTAGAAACATCTGGTCCAAGTGGACTGATTACGTTAGATTGCTCCATCCAATCTTCATAGAAATATACAAATATTACTACCCAATTCCCATCCACATAACAAACATTTTTCAATTTACGACCCACTGCACTCCCCCTCTTAATCCTCTCTTTAAATTAGGAATTCACAGTTGATAATAACCTAAAGTTGATTGAATAAATAAAATTTGACCCTCTCTGACCTATGTATATTTAGTATTGATATTTTTATGTTAGCATTTTATTGTTATTTTCATATATTGTATTTGATGAAACTTTTATTTATTTATTTTTTATTATTATTGTTACTTTAGAGTTTGTAAAAAATGTTTAGCAGTGGTAAATGTACTCTTATAAGTGGAATCATTGTACTGTGTTTATTGCTACTACAAATTAAAAAAAAAAAAAAAAAAAATATATATATATATATATATATATATATATATATATATATATATATATATATATATATATATATATATTCCTGAGACATGCTTTAAATGCAGAGAGGCTCAGGGTTCATTTGTGCATTGTGTTTGGGAATGCAACGTTATTAGAGACTTTTGGGTGGAAGTGATTATTATTACAAAGATGATTGTACCCTTGAATATTCCACTAGATGCAAAAATGATTTTGTTACATTTATACCCAAAGAACCTTAAACTAAATCTTCAGCAAAACAAATTCATAGATTATGCTATATTACAAGCTAAAAGAATGATAGCTCTTAGCTGTAAAAGACCTGATCCACCATCTATTGGAACTTAGATTAATGCCATGGCACAGTGTATGGCCATGGAAAAAGTAACATATTTTATTAGAAACAAAATGGATGAATATAAAGAAATATGGAAGCCATTTAATTACTACATTAACAACAATAATATTGGTCGTTTGTCATAAAATATATAATATTTTGTCATTTCATTTTAATTATTCTCAGGCACGTGATCATTCTTTCATTATTACTGTATGTTTTAACCTGCTTTCTTTTGCTTAAAGTTATTTTGTTAATATAGTTTAATTATCATATTTTACAATAATATTGCTTTAATATGAGATTAACTCCCCATTTATGTGTAGTAACTGCCAGGACAGATTACTGTACATATTTTAGATAGATGACAATAGATCTTTTTAAGTGTAGTTTTTTTTAAAAATAGAAAAGTTTTGTTGAATAAAAAGTGAATGTATACAGCTAGGCCTATATATTTGCTTGTTTTGACACATTTAAAATGTGTGACTAAGAAATAATTATTTCTTTTTGATGTGGTTAGAGATCAATTTGGTAAAGTGTAGTGTTTTATTTTAATTTTTTTGTTTGTGTGTTTCGTTTTGTTTTGTTGGATAATGTAACTTTTATGTGTAAAGTACAGTTATGTATACTTGGTTTTTGGGTACCTAACAATAGTTGTTCTGCATTTAAATTGTCTCTTGTAAGAGAATTCTTTGTATTTGTATAGGGGAGAAAAAAGGGATGTTCTTTTGTTGGGGTGGGAAATAGTTGCGACGAAATGGAATTGTGTTTTTCTGTTACCCATCTTGCATAATCAAAAACAATAATCACATTGTTCAAAAAATAAATAAATTAAAAAAAAATAATAATAAATAAATATATATATATATATATATATATATATATATATATATATATATATATAAATATATGCGCTCATATTACAAGTGAGAGATTTTTAAATGAAGGGTGCATTGCGTCATTTTAAAATAATCGAAGGAAACACACACTATAAACTATCTATGATCATTTATTGAACATCAACGCGAACAACTAAAATTAAAACACACATTGTCTAAAACAAACAGTCATTGTTTTCTCACGAAAAAGTGAAAAAATCTTTCACTTTTGGAAACAAAATAAATTATTTTAATGTCACTTTTATTAATAATTTTCATATTAAAAGTAGAAAATAAGCAGTATCTCTTCTAAATTAAATAACTCTTGTATATCCTGTAAATAAGTGCATTTCTTGCATTTCGTTAACAAATATTTAAACGTAAATAATAATTTTAATGTAATGGACAACATCTCATCTCAAGGCATCTCTGGCGCAGCTTCCAGTCATCGTCAATGTAGTGCAAAGTAAGGCTCAGGAATGGGTCCATCATCCTACTTGACCAGAGATCAGATCTTACCTGTCAACTTTGGGATGTAAAAATACAGGATATGTAACTAAACCAAATGACCCCAAACTCCTTAATTGTATATAATGTAATGTAAAAATAAAATGTAATGTATAATGTAAATGTTGGAAACATTTCAAATATGTTTAGGAAAATAGCTTCAAATGATAGAACACAAACATTACAAAATATTGAAATATTTATTGTCAGGGTTCTGCCACTCTGGTCTTGTAAATTCTTGTTTTGGTGGCAGAATCCGGACACTAGTCATGTCTAGTCCTGTTGTGCTCGGCTCGAGTTTTCTTGGGTTGAGCACTTGTTTCTGTCTCTATGTGCGCGCGCGCCATCGTGGGTGTACACAGAGTGTGCGCGCTCCTGCTAGATGCGGCCGCGCCCGCGCTCTGCGTCGCTCAGACGCGTGCGCTCTAGGGTTGTAACGGTATGAATTTTTTACGGTATGATAATCCTCTAAAACAATACCACGGTTTGAGGGTTTCGCGGTATACGGTATGTTACAAATGTTACAAAATAATAGAACAGTGAAGCAAATTTGACTTTTTCCAAATAATATATTTTCAGTTACTATAAACAACACCACTTACAATGAACAAATAAAAAAATAAGAAATAAATAATGTGTCAAAGTCCAAATAAAGTCCAAATAAATATGGTGCAAATCCTCAGTAAAAAAATAGATATAAATATTTACTATACTATAAATAGTTACATAACGAAACTAGATTCAATATGGAACATCCTTAGGTTGTATGTGCCAGCATGGATATGGTTGTCTGTGGATATGGATTTGGATATGGTTTTCTGCAATGCAGACAAACAGCTGCACCTTCATTTGCGTCTTTTGAAAACAGCAAGAGCAGCAGTTCGTCTTTGCTGTGTCACTGTTTTGTCATGTTTCTGTGCTGCTGTGCATGCAAAAGTACTTAGTATGAAAATTATTTCATGCAAAACTTTTTTTTTTTTTGCGTTTTATTTAGCCGCACATAAATGTATGCCTATCTCTCATTCCGTGTTGTTCAAAAAGCTCATTGTTGGTCCACAAACAAAAGCGAAACCTATGCTTATTGGTTGTGATATAGCGAGTTTGAACCAATCTGGGCATGGAGGAGGGATAATGCATCAATGTATCATGTCTGGTTTGTCCGGAGACACAGTGACGAGCGTTTCTTTGTCAAATCAGCGTTGTCAAATTTTGATGACGTAACCGCACTGATTCCGGAGCCTCTGAAAGTCCGCGAATGTTATGTGATACAGCACTGGAAAGCTGAGATTCTCTTCTTTATGCCAATCTTTGAATTGTATGAGTCGGATCAGCGGATCAAAAGTTATTAAACATTTAAGAGCAATACTTATTTTTAGCCGCGGGCGGCTGTCTCGGTCTTTAAGGGTTAAAACCGTTGATATGCAATTGTTCATGGTATGATAATCGTGCACGTTCAAATCGCGGTATTACCGGTATATTGTTACAACCCTAGTGCGCTCTTGTACTCTTGTTTGTGTTTTCGTCTGTCAGCAGCGTGGTGTTTCATTCCCAGCGTCTCAGTCTAGTTGGTTTCGGTTTTGGTCAGCGCTGGGA